AAAAAAAAAAAAAAAAAAAGAACTTCTGTGTTCTATATCGTGATTTTTACATATTTTTAAACGACAAAAAAAAAAAAAAGAATCTTTAAAGATCTCAAAAAACACGTAATCATCTATTACATCAACACACTGTCCTTTCTCATATTGTTATGATTATAGTAGGGATTGTGTCGATCGAGCAATTATATTACGTTAACCTGTAAAAAAATTATGATCGCCATCATTATTATTTTGCAATACTCGGCATTATCATTATTTCACTACATAGTGACTGATATTATTTCGATCATGAAATCATGAATATTAAACAAAAGAGATATAAAAGAAAGAGATATAATCTGACGTAAATTTTTTTCTAACGCTTGATAATAATCTAATATATCGTTCTGTGCAACTACTTATCAACGTAAACGATATTTCAAGTGATGTGTGTTATAAATGTATCGATCAGAAGACATTTTCCCACTATTATTTTGATAATCTGTCTTCATGCGAAAAGCAGTCGTGAAAAAATTAATCACATGATTTGTGAATGGAATTATATATATATATATATAAATATGCGTATTATAGATTCAGTTTCTCAAAAAAAAAAAAAAAAAAAAAAAAGAAAAAAAAAAAAACAATATGGAAATTTTTCAGCCTCGCATAAGATATACAGAGCATTTATTTTAGCCGATTATAAAGGTAATTCACAATCAATACAAATTGTATCATTACAAAATTTTTATTATTACACTTATGAAAGAAAAAAAAAAAAACAAGAAAATTTTTTTTAGATTATACAAAATCGGAGTCCTGAAGAATACCGTGTTTAAATGCTTCCACTAAAATAACGAAAAGAGAAATAACATTATGGGAAATTAAGTTAAAACGAATAAACGGAAAGGTATAATGTGAACAGCGATTTTTAAATGCGATCACCCGCAATCCGATTGTACTTTTCGAAGAGTGGTGCCCCCTTGACGTTTCTCTGCTTTCTTTTTGCAGCAATTGAAGCGATTGAATATATTTACATTTTTCATTTATCATTATTATTAAATTCCATTACCAACATAGTTCGATCTCTCCAATTGTGATAAGAAGAAACTTCCTACATGTACATTTACATGTTTGCGTTGCATCAAATCTAAACTCCACAAAATATTATATATGTATCGAAAAAAATGTTGAACTCTCTTTTTGTGCTTTAATCTTTGTACATACGTATAAGTACGATGCAATATCGCAATCACATGTAAAAATATTTTCAAGATTAACGTTTGCTCGAATGATATTGTTGTATGTAAATGGTGGAATGCCATGCCGTACATTAGACATAAAATAATAAAGTTAGAAAGCGGAGTACGACAATGGCAGCCCTCTTTTTAAGTACTTTTTAGCAACGTAAAACATCAAATGAAAATAAGAATATATACACAAATACACAGACACGATAAAAAATAAAAAGAAAAAAAAAAAAAAGAAAAAAAAAAAAAAAAAAAAAAAAAAAAAAAAAAAAAAAAAAAAAGAAACGAATATTATCGTTGATATGACAGGCAAATCACACATCTAGACTATTCTATAGGACTAGAAACGACGTAAGGTATCGATATAAGACGTGTGTATGTAAGTACCTACTCGTTTGTAACCTGAAAGAAGATCGATATCTATCGATCGATCTCTTTCAAGTAAAAAGTCTGTACATAGATAAAGAGAAGAAAAAAAAAGGAACGAAATAAAACACGCCGAGGTACTCAGCTCCCTCCTAAAAATATTGTACTATATTAATAATAATAATAATAATAATAATAATAATAATAATAACAATAAGAATAATAATTATTATTATAATAATTATAACAATAATAATAATAATATTAATAATAATATTAATAATAATATTAATAATAATAATAAATAATAATAGTAATAACAATGATGATGATGACGATGATAATGCTTACAATGCGGTCGTGCAAAACGCGAGAAACTAAGGAGACAAAAAGTTAAACGAAACGAGATTTCAAAAAAGAAGAAAAAGGAAAAAAGAGGAAGGAGAAGTGAAATAATAATTATTAAATAAATAAATAAATAAATAAATAAATAAATAAATAAAAAAAAGGCTAAGAAGCGATATTACCTATGAAACCCGCTATTAATGCGATTAATTCAAATAAATTAACTACAATTAATAGCGAGCGAGAACATACCACGCCTACAGTAAACTACAGGTGTAGCATACACGATAATATTATTATCAAAACAGTTCAATGTAAAAAAATTGTTATTTTTGTTGAAATAAAAATCACCTCCGTTATAATAACGAGCACCCCTTTTGACTCTTGTCTCTAAACGCTTCGTGTTATTTTCTTATATGGCCAAGCATGATGGATATACAGAGCGTACATGAACGTTTTTTTTTAATACTTCAGTGCCGTACGAAATTCAAAGTTCCTGGTAGATTAAAATAAAACTGAAGTTTAAAAAA